CCTTGGTTTTTCTCAATAGTAAAATTTCCCCAGTTTTTATTCAGCATTGTTTTTTGACTCTTAGTGTGTGTTGAAATATTTTTTCTTCTGTTTTCAATATGGTAAAGTGATAAAACTAGAAAATACCAGGCAGAGATCTAGCAATTGTAACTTGAATCTCTTGCACTGTAAGAACTGGTAGAGTTTTCAGTGTGGTAATTGTTGTCTAGCAACTTTTTATTTTCTTTAAAGTTGACCTTTGAAATATCCAGAATAATGCCCAGTGGTCATACTTCTAATCAGCTGTGATTATGTATGTCTAGAGTGTTTTGCAACCTGAAGGTGTAAAAAAAAGAAGTGTGTGTGTGTGTGTGTGTGTGTGTGTGTGTAGAGAAATTAAGAGATAAGAAGGTTCAGTTGAAGGTTTCCCTGGCTAAGACCAATCTATCTAAAAGAAAATTTTGTGTTAGGAATTCTGTTGTATTGAAGGGTCTGGCTCTGGTTTAGTATTTAATTTCTTTAAAGGATTTAGTGTACTTATATGAAGTACAAATGCAGTCCCATTTATTACATGTAATGTATAACTCGAGATACATTGGTTTTAATCTAATTCTTGGTATGGTAAGGTGAAGAAATTAAGAAAGGTGATATTTTTTCATATATTTGATAGAATAATATAACCACTTTATTAGATAACCATTTTTTTAAGACAAATGATGTGTAGCCTAATTATTGTTAAAGCTATTGTATGTGTAATGTGATAGAAGAATTAGTCTTTAAAGAGCAACTAGCTGAGCGAGATTTTTAGCCTTGGTAAGGCATAACCATTTATTATTTAGCCATCATTTGTTACAATGATAGTTGATCATCTTCTGTAGTTCTGAATATGCAGCTGTGTCATTTGTCAGAACATACCAGCTTTGTAAAGTTATTTGATATGTTTGCTTGCTGCTTCTGTAGCTCATAGCAGAAAATAAAATTTTTTTCTAGTTCAAATTCAGGGTATCTTTTAGGAAAAACTTACTCTGAAAATTACTTTTGAGTGCCCTTATCCCAAAGGAAAAATACAGGAGGTGCCCGAAAGAGAAGGAATGGCTATCATGGCCTAATACGTGATATAGAAATGATGAATTCAGTCTATTGTGTCAGTTCCATCTAGGTATGTGAATAGGGTTGCTTATGTCAGTAGGATTGTAGTGCTATGAGAGGAAAGCATGCTTTTACCAACTGTTGCCTATATGCAACTGAATTTATATTTTTGAGAGTTCTGTGTTTTCTAATATTAGAGGAGTTGTTTTATTTAATGAGTTGTTTTATTTAACTAGTTAGATAAAATGTGGTGTGCTTCAACACTTTGATAATATACATATGACTTTTTGTAATGTTGATGATAAAAATCCATGCTTCTACATACTTCACAAAAACTTACTGCTCTGGTGCCTTTTGGAATGCTAAGATCATTGAACCAATTTACAAATCTTTTCATGGTATCTTTCAAGAAAACAATGTGATGATCATTGTAGTTAAAACTAATTTTAATAGTTTAAATTGGCACCAGTGAAATTTCCTCCTAATAAATATTCTGCTGAGCTAGGTTTGATTTGTTTCCCAAAGATACGGGTAGCAGTAACACAAGTGTCTGTAGATTTGTGTGTACAGCTTTATGGCGTTCGGCCACCTTCCTTCTAGTCTAAAGACCATATGCAGAGAATTACAGTGATGAATGGCTTTTCATTTTAACCAAATGATTTCTAAATTTCATGAGAAAATGCAGTAAAAAAGGGGATAAATTAGAGCAAAACAGTGCTAAACAATAAGTAACTGTAGAGAAAGGGTAGAAAATGTTGCAAGTTTTTCCTAGATGCAATTTTGCTTATAATAGGGATAGTGTATTTAGACTACACACATTAAAGATGGGTAAAGCCATGTTTGTGGCTGCTGTGTTGAGACTATCACTATTGTTTCTTGACAAGATTTAAACTCTCTTAATAAATTATCTTTCAGATTTTCTGTGGATGCACATGTAGTTGTATGCTGACTAATGTTCAACATGTTATTCAACTTCTGTGACTATTTTGACTTTTCCATACAGATTGGCTTAAAGTTTAAGGTGTACTTCTTTATTTTTTATCTTTTGCTTTTTATGCATACAGGTATGCAAAGCAATACGTGTATTTTTTTATATGAATATAAAATTCCACATTACTTAGGTGAAAGTAGGAATAATTTGATATTTTGGTTTTAGAATAGATTCACTACTTTGAGTTATGTTAGAAATAAGTAGGAGAGAAATCAGGCTGGATAGGCAGGCAAGTAGTGATATAGCCAAGGAAGGTCCTAACATAACTAGATTTATAGCATTAAAGAGTTTAACAAGATTTGTTTTGGTTTTAGCTTTAAGCTAGGACAAACAAAAGGTATAGGGTGACTTAGAAAAGACTCTACAAGCTACAGAAAATGAGGGAAACCTTGATCCTTTGAGAAGCTCGCCCAGTCTCTGCGCGTTAATTTTTTTTTTTCTGCCAGAGATCATGTTTCCAATTTGTCCTTTCTGTATTTGAATATGTAGTGCTTTTATGACTATGAATTAATGGGTATATATTGTAGATAATTCATAATGTCTTTGCATGATACTGCAGAAGAGAGAAGCTTCCACTTTTACCTTTACTGCAGAGGTGTACTGGTACCACAGTCCTTTTAGAGGGTAGTCTTTCTTGGGAGTGCTCTTCTGTCTGTTTCAAGGACAGTTTTCTACTTAAATAAGTTACTCCAAAGCTGGAAATTGTGCCTTAAATAGAGCTGCAGATGTGGTAACAGCTGAAGGAATTTAAGTTGTACAGCCATTCACAAACTGGAAGCATCTCCGTAACTTTATATTGTCAGAGGCATACTTTGTTGTAACGGAGGTGATGTCCATTGTTCTAGTGTGGGTGGTTGGACCCTCTAGTCTCATCCCAACTGAGGTGCAGGAAATCAGACTTCTTGTGTTCACTGCACTGTATGGAAACCTAAATAAATTGTTACCCTCAATGGCCAGAACTGCTTTTAAGTAATGCCCCCTAGGGTGCAAATGAGGATTATTTTAAATACATGATTTTCCTTATCAGGAAAACAAACTGTTCTCTATCTGATGGATGTATTTGGTTGATGTAGCATTCATATGCTCTAATGAAATACCCAGATCTTTGAAATTTGCTAGCATTTGCTTTTTATGCATATGACCAACAAATGGAAAATGTTTTCCCTTCAAAACCTGCAAGGAGAAAAAAGGGTCAAAATAAATACAGATGCAGAAGTAAACAGCTGTTGGTCCACTTAAAAGGCAATTATGGCAAATCAGGATACTATCAGAGTCCTTTCAACACCAGTTCCATGCAGTGCTCAGGGCCACCAAAAAGTGGGTTTTGCCTCTTTTTCCCTGGCTTATGTTTTTTCTGCCTTGGTTAGTCAGCCAGTGGCAGAATCCAAGAACTGGAGTTAGCACAAGGGAAGTGATGGGAGCAGACAAAGAGGTACAGTGTGGAGCAACAGAACCCAGACTGAAGCCTGGTGTTTCTGGAGGTGTTCTGTTATTGAAGTTATGCTTATTTAATATGAACCTAGTATCTTGTTTCCCTCCCTCTCTATAGTTTGATTTAGTTTTGCAGCCTAGACCCTTTCTGATAAGGATATGCCACCTGGCTGACTTCAGAAAGATTTTCAAGTCACCTCCCTGTTTCTTACAGATAGTGTACAAATAGGGCTTAGAAGACTTTCACCTGATTCAAACATATTCTTAGACCTTTCTACACTAAATATCTGAAAGAAATATAGTGTTTCAACTTCATCTGTGTTCATGTAGTTGCTTGTGTAGTTTCAGATTTTGAAGTGTTTTTCTAGAACCAAAACAGAGACTTCAGCAGTGCAACAGAATTAGATTAACTTTTGAAGAGAAAAGAAGTTCAGCAAACCCAAATCTCCTTCAGTTTGGTTTTTTTTTTTTTTAATTATTGGCTAGGTGTCACCCTGAAAGAAATAAAAGATTTCCAACTAGTAAATTCTTTTCTCTCATGCCAAACTACTCGGTTCTGAAATCGGTAATGATAGATGTGAGTCACTGAAATCAGTGACACTATGTTCAGTAATTAATACTTCCAGTATGGGTTTTGCTGAAAAAGGTAGAACAGGCAGTTGAAGACACAATATTGTCCTGAGGAGGGAAGAAAAGGGAGTGCTTTAACTGCTGGTGGTTTTATGGCCTTTTCTTCCTAGATACATTTACGTTTGAATTACAATTTTAGTAAATACAAAGAGATTATAATAAGAGGAGGTGAAAAACTTTACTCTGCATTTAATATTTACTATCCTTCTGTGGAAGTCTTTCACCATTAATGTTGTGGAGTCATGGAGTGTTTGTTACTCATCACTGAGATATGGTGAACAGATTTTGCACTGAAACCTGTCATTAACAGGACTACTCACAGTACATAATTCAATATTATACATGTCTTTGCAAGACTGGGTTTTAGGTTTCTAAAACATTTAGAAGTCATAGAAAGGCTTTTGAAGATTTTACTGCTTTTCTTACTCTGGGTTCCAAGCAGCATCTGTTACTGTGTCTTAAAAGTTAGGCTTCTGGTTCATGTCTGACATTATACTTTTATAATAATGTTTGATATGCTGTATTTGAAAGGATATTATTTTTGTCTGGTCTGCTATGTTCTGTCAAAATAACATTTTGAGGTTCTAGAAGTAGAATTACGAAGTTACGAATGGCTGACAATAAGGACATACTCAGCTGCCAGGTAGTCTGAGGGTAATGGAGTAGGCTTTTCTTTATGTGTGTTCTAAGTATGTATGTTGGTTTTCCTAGAAGCTACAGTGCTAAACTGAATTTTATGTGTGTATTGAAATAAAGTGTCTTATCAGCTGTGAAAAAAAGATGCTAGTTAGCTTTATCTCACTGCTGAGGGTTCATCAGGTATGAGATCTAGGCCTGAGGAACTAAGTTGAATGTACTTTTTATTCTTTTTGTTTTTCAGAGGCCCGGAAGACACAATAAATGATTGTAAAATCCTTTTTGTAGAGGAAATGTACAAGATTGAAAAGCCAGGAGCCTATCCATTGACATTTGGGGATGGAGATTTCAAAAGTATGCTTTTTAAAAAATTATTTGAATAGAAGTACAAATTGAATGAATGATTTTATTTTTTTTTTAGATAGAAGGATCAGCATACAGAGATAATAGTAATTGGTTTGTATGTTCAAGAAAGTAATAACATAGAATTCCTTTTAGATTTCTTTACTAAAAGCAGATTTACTGTAAGGTGGTTCTATTACTTGACATATTCAGAAACTGGTAACATCTTAGTACTATCAATCATGAGCAGGAATAGGGGGACAGCTGATAACATTCTAAATGAACTGTGCAGAATGAATTCAAAGTCTTGTTTAAGTTCCTAGATAGGTATTCAGAACATCAAAACTGCTGTTGCAATTGACTTGTCCTTTAAACTTTTAATAAATGAAGAAATGCACAGATAGGATCAGTCTGTAACGGTGCACTTTAACCCTGTCATTATGTCAGAATTTAAAAAGAGAAGTAAGGAACTTCATGTTAAAGCTACTTGTACTATGAAAAAGTATAATATTTAGAAAGGCCCTGCATGACCTTCTAAAAAAGTAACTATACTATACCTTCCTATCCTCCCCACAACCACACAAAGGAGTTAGTGGCAGTTTAAAAAGTAATGTGATATTTTATCCTAAGTTTAAAAATATATTGAAGTTAGGAGTGATAAGTGTTTGTGACAGCAACACTGAGAGATTGGACTGCAGCTCTGCTAATAGGTACTAGATATTATTATATATTAGATTCCTGTCTCCAAGGCAGTTTTTCAGAATGTTTGTATGTGGCTCTCAGTGCACAAAAACTAGTCCACTTACTGTTTATTTGCCATCATCTTAAAAAAATCAGTTTTCAGAGGAGCAAATACCATTTGCTGCAGTATTCTTAAAAGTAAGAATGTGATTTTCTGTAAATGAACTTCTTATAAATAATTTTTTATTTGTGATTTACTTTGCTCAGATTACTCAAAAAAAATTAACCATCCATTCTGTTTATTTTTTTCTTGGATATATTAAAGGGTTTTTGCAATATCTTAAAACATATCTTTATTTGAAAAAATTGTTATATGAGAAATTTAAAAATCTACAGATACTGCTTTGCATTTAGATACTACTTATGTTCCAAGTCTAATTGTTTATGAAGCTTTTAAAAGAGCATATAAAATCATTACAGTTCATTTGGTTCTTCCCTGCAGCTACTGTCTAGTGAGTTAATTTTTTAAATGTGTGTGTGTTATGGAAATTAATTATTACTATATTGCTGACTAGACAAAATTGTCTACAGTGCCACCATTTGATCTGACATGAGTATTTATATAATATTGTTTAGGTTGGAAAAGACACTTAAGATCATTGAGTACAATTGTAAACTGAGCACTGCCAAGTCTACCACTAAACCATGTCCTTAAGCGCTACATCTGCAGGGCTTTTAAATACCTCCAGGGCTGGTGACTCAACCAGGCTGCCCGGGCAACCTGTTCCCATGCTTGACAACTCTTTCCATGAAGCCATTTTTACTAATATCCAGTCTAAACCACCAACATGAGGCCATTTCATCTTCTCCTATCGCTCATTACTTGGTTCAAGAGACTCATCCCCAGCTCTCTGCACCCTCCTCTCAGGGAGCTGTAGAGGGCGATGAGGTCTCCCCTCAGCCTCCTCTTCTCCAGACTAAACACCCCCAGTTCCCTCAGCCGCTCCCCGTACGACCTGTGCTCCAGACCCTGCACCAGCTTCGTTGCTCTTCTCTGGACACGCTCGAGTCATTCAATGTCCTTTTTGGAGTGAGGGGCCCAAAACTGAACACAGGAATCGAGGTGCGGCTTCACCATTTTGTACTTCCTACACTGCTTGCCACCTTTATTGTTCCAAGCTCTTTATTTTCACTTACAGTTCTTTCCCTTCTATTTTGACAGCTATTTCCTTATTTATAACTTCTTTGCTTAAACTGCTCAGATAATGCCATTGGTGTAGAGATTTGCACCTCTGCGTGCAAATCATTCTTTTCCTGGTCCCATTTTTTATTCATTTTAATACATTGTTTACAAACCTTCATAAATAAATGGAATGCCGAAATATACTCTTTAAAAATGTAACCCTGAAAATTTAATTGATCTGCAAATTTAACCTTATTTCTTGTTTTGAACTGTTCTTTTTCCTGAGGCCAGATTTCTCACAACACTGCCCTTTTCATTTCTGCTCTGTTATTCTGATTTTTTGGTTAGCTGTCAGTTATGCAGAGTGCTGTATGCCATAAGCAGTATACCCTTTACCTCTGGACTGTACTTACACCCCTATTCCTACTTTGTATTTAAAATTTTAAAATATATATTCCTATATCTATAAACACACACACAGAGCTACCTTAGCTTATGTGCTATGAATAACTGAAGATTTTTGTTACAACAGCAGCAGATGAAAATCAAAGCATTCACTTACCTTAAATACTTCATGACGTTGTACACACAGTCAGAAAATGCAGTGACTATTTTTGTCTGTATTAAGTCCAGGTCCTTTCCAAAAGATAGAATGCCTACTTTGGAAATAACCTTCATCAGCTAAACAATGTACGCTACATCTGTAGAAAATTTTTAATTTCTTGAGCACAGCCATACATTAATTAGGCTTTTGTATGTGTAAATTATATAAAAATGTATATGACATGTCAATATATGTTTAACAGTTAAAAATAAGGTAGTTATTTTCAAATTATTTAATGGAAATCTAAATTTTGCTGCCCAGGAAAGAATAGGGCTAAACTTATTAGAAAATTAGAAAACTAAGAAGCAACATACTTGTAAATAAGTTTCAGATATTCTTATGTGAAACAGAAGACCTAGATATCAACATACAATACTTCCATCAGAATCCAAATTTGTGGTATGAACATGAGAACTTTCTGCAAAAGAAGAGAATATGAAATTATGTATGCAACTAAACTCTGCAGTGTTGGTAGGGGTGAACTGACCTGTCTTCATGTGACCAATAGTGCAGATATAATGAGGGCATTTGATTTATGGCATGGTTAAAGCAGAAATGTGAAAAAATTGAAGTTGTGTAATGAAAATGACAGTTTGTTTGTATATTGAAAAAAGTTGAAAACTCCAGGTATTGTTTAATTGAACTAAAATATGTAGACCTTTTAGCTCTTTTTCCTTTTTTAAAAAATAAAGTATTATTACTAACTTTTTACCTAAGAAACCAAACCAGTAAATTGCATAGACCTAAACAACCTGTGGTGGTAAGAGATACAGAAAAATATGCTATTTCTTTTTGCCTGTTGTTTATTGGATGAGGTAGACTAATGAGTTTCTTTTAGGGATTGCTCAGTCATCACTTTAAAAATTTTTCAAAGGGAATATCAGTTACATGGGATTTCTTCAGTCTGACTTGACTTGAATTGGTGTTGACATCTTGGACAGACCATGAGTTTTGCCTAGCTGTGTTGGAAAATCCACAGATTTCTTCATCAGCACTCTTAAAATGTTTCCTTTATCTTCAAATGAACCCTGGGAGAGAAGTCTTAAACTGGAAGATTACTTGCATTTGGATAGTATTTGGATAGTATGCAGATAAGTCTTCTAGATTAGACTTCGGTAGAAGCAGTACACTGAGAAATTTTGGCTTTAAGTGTATCTGAACTTTGCCTTTAAGGCTTTGTAAAGTAACCATTTTCTATACACATTTCCTCCTCCTCTTTTCCAGTCAGTACATCTCACTAGGCCTTCTATCTGCAGATGGTAATTTTCCCTCTTCAGTGATCCTTCTGTTATGTTCTTCAGCTTTTATATTTATTTCTCTTACCAAAAAAAAAAAAAAAAAAAAAAAAAAAAAAAGCAGCAGTGTTCTAGCACTTCTTATAGAAAAATCATCTAGTGCCCCCCCCCGCCATGAGCAGGGACACCTTCCACTAGCCCAGGTTGCTCAGAGCCTCGTCCAACCTGGCCTGGAACACTGCCAGGGAGGGGGCAGCCACAGCTTCTCTGGGCAACCTGTGCCAGTGTCTCACCACACTTGTCATAAAAAAATTCTTCCTTGTATCCAATCTAAATCTACCTTCTTTCAATTTAAAATTTTTGCTCCCTGTCCTGTCACTACATGCTCTGGTAAAAAGTGTTTCTCTTTCTTAAAAGCCCCTGTTAAGTATTGAAAGGCCACAATAGTGTCTCCCTGCAGCTTTCTCTTCTTCAGGCTGAACAAACCCAGCACTCTCAGCATTTCCTCACAGGAGAGATGATAATTTTTGTGGCCCTCCTGTGGACCTGCTCCAATAGGTCCATGTCCTTCTTATGTTGGGGGCCCCAGAGCTGAACGCAGTCGTCCAGGTGGGATCTCGTAAGAGCAGAGTAGAGGGGAGAGAATTACCTCCCTCAGCCTACCGACCACACGTCTTTTGATGCAGTCCAGGATACAACTGGCTTTATGGGCTGCAAGCACACGTTGTCAGTTCATGTGCAGTTTTTCATCCACCAATACCCCCACATCTTTCTCTGCAGGGCTGCCCTCAGTGCCTTCATCCCCCAGCCCGTACTGATACTGAGGATTGCCCTGTGCAGGACCTTGCACTTGGCCTTGTTGAACTTCATGAGGTTCACATGGGCCCACTTCTCAAGCCTGTGAAGGTCTCTCTGGATGCCATCCCTTCTCACTAGTGTATCAACTGCACCACTCAACTTTGTCATCCACAGACTTGTTGAGGTTGCCCTCAACTCCACTGTCTGTGTCACTGATGAAGGTATTAAACAGTATTGGTCTCAGTGTGGACCCCTGAGGGACACAGCTTTTTACAGATTTCCACTGGAAGCTTGCCCTTCAGTATTGTTCTCTCATGATAGTCAGAGAAACCTGGGGTACTTCTCCATGTTTGGGGGTTGATAAATTCTAGTCTCCCCTAAAAATTTATCTGAAAGACAACAGTCCTTTAGTATGGAAAAAATTCTGCATATTCCTAAGGGTTTAATCTTTCATGGGAACAGGCAGTGTTTTCTTAAATATTATGATTTGTTGCTTGTACTCTTCTTTTTTTGTCTAATTTTCTGTCTGCTTAACTAGCACCTGTGGAAGAATCTGATGCTCATGGTGCCTCTGAAGGGCTGTAGAGGTTTGATGGAGTTGCTTGTTTTAATTTTTGTAGTGGGGCTGCTCTTCAAATTCCTTATTAATGAGCTTGCTTGTGACATTATGGACATATTCATTAAGGTTTTGTTCCGGAGAATGAAAGTGTTATTTTTTGTACAGCTAATGACTTTGGGATATTTTTGGTAAAGATTATGACAGGAGTAAGTTTGTCCTTATCACACTGTCCTAGGCCAAATGCCCTTTTGAGTAGACATTGTCAAACAGTTCAGAAGTTCCTTAGTTTGCCTATGGACAAAATAGTACTCAAAAGAATATTTTCTGTCCCATTCTAAACTTTAAGAAAAACGTTCTCATTATTAGTTCAGATGTCTAGATTCTCCAGCTTCCTACTTCCAACTCCAGATCTCAAACAGTCTTTCTAATCTTTTGTCTTCTGATTCAAAGCCAGTTACTTCTTTCAAATAAAATACTGTTTCCAGAGAAATTTGGAAGTACTCTATTGATTATTGTATTAGACTGTTTTAAGCACAAATTCACTTCTGTGGCATTTCTAGATGACTTTCGCACAGAACATATAAATAGATTTTTTTTTTTTCCTTTTAACGTTGGAATCCTTTGGGGTGTGATCAAATTATCTTCTGAAGTCTTCTCTCATTTTTCTGGACCTTCTACTTGTTTCAAACATTTCTTTTAGAAGTATTAATTCTGCTGCAAGTATTCATTCTTCCCTGTCTTTCATACCTAGTGTAGGCTACTAAATTATTTCCTCTTGTATAAAAGCGTTTTGTCCCTGATTAAGGAATCAATGCCAATGGTTTTGTTTCACAGTGGCATTCATGGGTCCAAATTTCCAAGTGTGGAAACAAAGTTTGTGTTTACGTGTAAACTAAATTGCTGATGTGAAACTGTTGATTTGAGGTTGTCTGTGATCTCAGATTACTACTTCTTCTATCCAGCTGTAAATTTGATTTAAGAGGGAGAGAACTGTTCCAAATTGTAGTTTCATCTTAACTGTTACCAGTTAGCTAACTGGAGTTTCTTCATGGCTGTATTTAAGAAGACTCCAACTAGAGATTGTGCAGGGCTCCATCTGTAGGGAGTGTATGCAGGTGGCATGTTGTGAACAAGAGGGGAGAAAAATAAGAGAAGCTGTTGATAAGTAATTTTCTTTACTGCTTTTTTTTTATGCAGCAGAAGAAATCCCACTAACCTGGATAATGAAATACCTCGTAACACAAAAGTGTTTTTAAGAGGGCAGTGTTCATGTGCAGAAATAATTTTTTTCCTGTAGATACAGTAGTGCACTTTTGTAAGGTTGATTTATTGTTTGTTTTTGACAGGAAAAAGTGGCCCTGAATGCAAGCACTGTAGGGCTGATCCAGATAAGGAGTGCCGTTTTTGTTCGTGCTATTTGTGTGGTGGAAAACAGGATGCTCACATGCAACTCCTGTGTGATGAATGTAATATGGCTTATCATATATACTGTCTGAACCCTCCCTTAAGCAAGATACCAGAAGACGAAGACTGGTAAATATACAATGATGATTTACTTATCTATATTGCCATTCTATATATGATACTTTTTTTATTATTTGCACCTTGTGAGATACAATATTGAAGAATTTCAGTTCTGCTCTGCTTTTCATCTGTCTACTTAATCTAAGCCTTATGTTTTTTGTCACGGTAATTCTTTTAAATCATTCATAAAGGATTAGTAGTTAGCTTTAATGACCATTATGTAATTTCAAAACTGGTATGTTCATTTTACTCATTGTGACCATTATGCTGTTTCAAAACTGGTATGTTCGTGTTATTCATTATGATCATTATGATCTTTCTGTGACATCTGATCTGGTGGTGTTTATTAACAGTGGTTGTTCTCCACCCTTTTAATTTTGTTCAAGCTTACCTGCTTTAACAATTCTTACGCTCATCCTTCCTTTTCTTTCATCTGTCCCTGTTGCTGCCCATGTGCCCTTCCTGTGTCTTCTTGTTTCCTCTATTCATTTCTCCTGCTGTGCGAGGACAACCACCTTGCTATTCATTTCTACTGTCCCTGGTTCTGCCAGCAGGAAACTCAAGCTAACTGGCATTGTTAAATCAAGATAATTGTATTTTTAAGGGAATCTGCATGGACCCATTGGCAGCCCATTAAGTTATCTTTGACTCTGTACCATTTTTGTCTTTATTAGCTATCTACAATTTACACTGTTTGTATTTATCACCTGCCTGTGACTTACGTAAGATGCTAATTAGTAATAAATTAGTAATAATAAACTAATAAAGCTTTCTACTGCATAGACATTAATAAATGTCTAAAATATCTATGGATACATTTTATGGAATCTCTTTGGACCTTGGGATTAAATTTTATGTAAAAATCTGTGTGCTTTGGAAGTTTTAACATTCTCTGGAAATAAATGACTCAATCTGCTATACTATATTAGATGCCATAGTGGGTTTATTTATTGGTCAGTGCCTAATAGTCTGCATGTTTTCTGGGGCATTGTATTTTTTCTAAACTCCTATGTTTATGCCAGTGTGTGATTTAGTGATTGTGACCATTAACATTGATAAGTGTTTCTCAGTGTATATCTGGCCACAGGGATACTGTTGGTGGAAGCTGATTTTTTTTTTTTTCCCCATGAAATTTCTGCACCAAGAAGAGTTGTATTCACTGTTTTTGGAGGAACCACTGGCTTGAAATACTACCTAAAAAATACTTTCACTACCTGCTAGAAATATGTGTGGATCATTTGAACTAAAAATAACATTTATTTGAATATTGTCTATGTGCCTTCCACTTCTTGCATATGGAGGATAATTACAGTGTTTATTCAGCAGTGTGTATTGCACAGCATATTAAGCTTAACTATCCCCAAGTTTTCTACGGTCAAGCAGACTGGTCTGTGCATGACATCTTCTTGCTTCCTACTACTTGTCAACATAAGTGAGTTAATGTCACATGTTGACAACTGTCCTCAACACACAAGTGCTTTTTACTGACTGCAGTCCATAAGGACTATTCCTACCTGATTGCACCTGACGTTTGGATATAGCATCTGAGAAGTTATTTTTTTACTTCGTTCAGAAGCTGGGTGCTTCAAATGCTTTTTTGGATTAGATATTAGTGTTCTGATCTTCACTGGCACCCATTCTTTTTCAAAAGCTTCTTATGAGTTATTCTACTTCTGTTTCAGAGGGCTACAGAGAAAGTTTGAAGAACAGAAATTTTTTCAAAGTGTAGCCATTACTGCTTGAATCTCCATACCTTCTTCCAATAATATCACTACATAGGTCCCCAGGACTGTTTTCCTCCATACAGAAGATTTAGTGCTCTGTAGACAACCACACAAGAATTAAATTGACTGACAACAGAGTCCCTCAGGTCATACGTTAAGTGCACTTTTAGACCCTTCTACTTATATTTCTGGCAAAAAAATGTACAAATTTCCATGAGTAGTAGAAGTTTAATTCATATAATTAAAATGCCTTGGAAAATGGATGTCAAGCTTTTAAACTTGTTTTTGTTTGCTGTGTAATGATATGGGTCTTAAGATTTACTTATGTAAGTAGATAGCTGCATCTGTGAATGAAGTCACTGGGTGGGAGAGTTACTATTTCGGAGCTGGCTTGCGATTTGGGGATTCTTAGTGATGGCAGCCCTGTGCAGTCTTAATGCTTGGATGTATTTAGGAGTGCAGTTGCACTGGGCAAAGCAGTGCCTCCTACCAAAGAGGAGGTCTGTGTTCTCCCTTCTTGCATACTAACAAAGAGTCATGGCTGTCTGGTCCTTAACTTATTGACAGATGTTGTTTGGTTTAGAAATGGAAAAATTTCCATTTAGTATTTTTATAGTCTAAAATTTGGCAAACTCCCTGCAGGGGCTAACTCTGCTATTTGGGAAAGGATGATAAATTTCTCTTAGAGAGCTTAAGCCACTTTATATGTGAAACTGTATTTAATATTACATACAAAACTCAGTTTGAAAAATATTAAGGTAATATGGTTAGCCTAACAAGAAGCAGGAATGCCATAGTTAATTCACCTCATGAATTTGTTTCTTCTTTTAATTTGTCATTGCAAACTTTTTTCTAAACTGTAATAACATTTGAAGTCTTAGTGTGAGACAATTTCAGCATCATATATTATTTTTAATTTCTTTTTATCTACATATCTTCACTGTCTTACTGGTTCAACATCTTTACTGACATAGTGAAACATAACAGCTGAACATGAGCCAGCAGTGTGCCCAGATGGCCAAGAAAGCCAACAGCATCCTGCCTGGTATCAGAAATAGTGTGACCAGCAGAAGCAGGGAGGTGACAGTCCCCCTGTACTCTGCACTGGTGAGGCCACACCTGGAGTATTGTGTCCAGTTTTGGGCACCTCAATACGAGAGAGATCTCGAGGTGCTGGAGCGAGTGCAGAGGAGGGCAACGATGCTGGTAAAGGGCCTGGAGAACAAATCCTGTGAGGAGCGATTGAAGGAGCTGGGACTGTTCAGTTTGAGGAGGAGAAGGCTGGGGGGAGACCTCATCACTCTCTACAGCTACCTGAAAGGACATTGTAGAGAGGTTGGTGCTGGTCTCTTCTCACAGGTGATTAGTGACAGAACAAGAGGGAATGGCTTTAAACTGCAACAGGGGAGGTTCAGACTGGATATTAGGAAAAAAATTTTCACAAAAAGAGTGGTCAGACAGTGGAATAGGCTGCCCAGGGAGGTGGTGGAGTTACCATGCCTGGATGTGTTTAAGGGTCGTTTAGATGAGATGTTGAGGGATATGCTGTAGGGGAGAACTTTGTAGAGTTGGGCTGATGGTTGGACTCGATGATCCCAAGGGTCTTTTCCAACCTGAATGATGCTGTGATTCTATGAAATCTGCTCCTGTGGACATTAATCATTAATTCTTCTATTCATATCCACATACAAAAGTTAATTAGTAAATCTAAAACAGTAGTAGTAGTTATATAGACTAGGTTATCAATGTTTAGATCAGGCTTCCTCCACTAGTGGCTTGTGGGCCAAAGCCAGACCATGAGAGAAGAAACATGGAGATTTACCTTTGCATTGGCATTCCTGGAGTGGGATGAAAACTTTATTAGAAGCAGCAGCAGGACCAGTGTACTGCCTTCCTCTCTCTGTTTTAGTCACTGCATAATAGCATCTCATACTTAACTACCAGGATGTCTTTGTGTTAGCTGGAATGAGTCTCAGCACTATATTCCAAGTGACTTCAGCATTGTGGAGTGAGTGTGTTCATGCATTTGTGTGTGTATGCGTGTGTGTCTACACACATTCCATGATACTTTGGCTGTCTTTCACATTCAGCTGTATGCAGTGAAATGTATTGCACTAGAATGGAAAAATAAATGTAGAGTGGGCAGGACGTAGGAACAAACCATGGGTACTGGTTAGCAGTGTACTCTAATCTCAGCTATCTTTTCTTTTACATGATCTAAATGAAAGAGGACAGAATGAAGACAGAATACAGGAAACATGGGGACCTCTCACATCTCATGTGAGAAAAAATGTTTTGCCTCTAGCACTCTACCTTCAAAGATATTGAAATGCCCTTTTTTAAAAGTTGACAGTATTTGTTCATGTTGTGTTCATTTTTTAAGCTGTAGACTTCAGCTGCTTAAAACTGGTATATGTTTGCTAGCTTGAAATATTCAGTCAAGATAAGCAAATTGACACTATTTTGGCTACAAGAAATGTATTGCCATTATTATGAAGTAATTGAGAATTTACTAAAACCTTTTTTTAGGTATTGTCCTTCCTGCAAAAATGATTCTAATGAAGTTGTAAAGGCTGGAGAAAAGCTTAAACAGAGTAAAAAGAAAGCAAAGATGCCATCTGCCAGTACTGAAAGCCAGAGAGACTGGGGCAAGGTAGAGTGTATTTTAGAAATAGCTGTTACTCTGATTGTTCATGTATGTGCTACTTCTATAATTCTACTTATATATGCACTACACAAAATTCAGTACTGGGTTGCACAGACAATAATGTTTAATCCTGCCCACTATCTACTGGCAGTTAAAGCAGTGGAAGAATTATTAAGGTGACTAGAGGTAAAATAAATAAAAAAACCAACCCCTGATCCCTCCCCCAAACCCATATACACATATTACTTAATTAATATTCCTTTAAAAATTAACATATTTTGAAGTATGTGTTTGTTATAAAGATGAGAATTTTTGTTATCTGCATTGAATTTGCAAGTAGTCTTGAATATTATAATACCAATTCATTTTGTCTGATGTATTTTTAGGGAATGGCCTGTGTTGGTCGCACTAAGGAATGCACTATTGTTCCTTCTAATCATTATGGACCTATACCTGGTGTTCCTGTTGGGACAACCTGGAAATTCAGAGTTCAGGTATGTTATTTCAGTATTAGCTGTAGTTGAAGTAACTAAATAATAGTGAATGGGTTGTACATTAAAATAAATTTAGATTGATAATTGCCATTTTCGCCAGGACTAAATTAAACAAATACACTATGATTGTAATATTGAAAGTGATGCCAATAGGAGTGAAGGTTGAAGTATACTGATTTTACAGTACAGCTTAATAAGTTGTCATTAGGATAAAGAAATTTCACATGTTAAAATTCTAAGTGGGATACTTAGTCAATTTAGAGACTGTAGTTTCTTTATTTCGGATTTGCATAGTTTTTTATGACGCAGGCATTCTTTTCCCTGGAAGGAAATTTACTCAGTATTGCTTCTGGAGAGATCATCTGAAGAGCATCTTTGTCATGAATTACTTACCAGAGTCCATATTTGGGGTGAATCACCTACCAGAAACCTAAATTTAGTTGATAAAACCTGGAAATGAAAGAAGGGAGGGAGAAATGAATGAAAGGATGTTTGATACAGGAGGAAAGAGGAGCACAATAGTGGGGTGTTTTTATTCAGCGTACTCAGATGTTCTGGAAAAATTGGTAAGTAGCTGATAAAGTTAGGTGAGAGTGCTCAGTTGTTGCAGAAAGTAAACATGGAATAGGGAACAGTTCTAACTATATAATTTGTAATGGGATTTCAGCTACTTCTTGTTATTTAGGAAAGAGATCTTCTAATAGGTAATTTTGAAAATAAGTCATCTTAATACCCAATAGTGACCAATAAAATAAATCCGGTGTTAAATTACTGTGAAAGGAAGGGTCAGGAAAATACAATATATTAAGAACATCAGTCAAGATGATTAAAGTAATGATAGAGATTTCATTTGGCTGGAAAGACTTTTCATTCTGGAAGAATGTTGAAAATGTGGTCTAGTGTAGTTGGCTACAAAATTATATATAGTATGAAAAAAGTAATTAGGGACCTATAGATATAATTTCATAATGCAAAAACGTGTAATCAAAACAAGGGAAGCTGCTCACTTCAAAATGAATAAAAGAATAAAAGTGGTACTAATCCATATGACAAGTAGTACTACTGTGAATTCTTTTCTCTCTTTGATACTGTTGTACCTAGTTTAGGAAGTCTGAGCCATAGACAGCTGGATGCTGAGAATTCGTGCAAGGAAATACTGATCCTTGTGTAGTTTTCATTCCATGCACAGCTCTTATCTCTTGGTGGAGACAGCGTTTTTGGCCAGATGGACCTTTGATCTGATGTATTGTACTATGAATGTACAAGACTACAGCAGAAATATGTAAACTTCCATGGAAGCTGCTTAAAAGTGTACATTGGAAAAAGGTGTTCATGAGTGGAAGAGACACAATGAGAAAACCAGGCAATATCAAGGTCTGAAGAAAGAAGGATCCTAATGGGTTTTCTGCTGGGAACCTTCATTCTATCAATAGTTTTTTTTGGCATCACATACTGAGAAAATACACAATTTAATATGTAGCCTCTCTTTTATTCATAAAGGGTTTGGGGTTTTTTTGACTCTAATTTGGTAGTTTGAAACAATTATTAAATACATGCTTGTGGGAAAGTTGTTCCAGTGGACTCTAACAGTGTTGCCAGTGTATGGAACAGCTGCAGCTCCCAGAGATGATCTGGTTGCAGCTTAGTTGCACACACATTATGAGACAGTTATCCTGGTTGGAGAATTAGCTTATGATCCATACATTGTTGGAATGGCTTCTGTTTCCTTAGCCAGTGTCATAATATTCCCCTGCCTTGGTCACATTTACAGTGTGTTACCTTAATAGTATACCTGATATAATGATCTTTATATAGGTCACCGTGATCTTCCTTACTTAAAAACTGTAAAATATTACCAAATTGGCAGATCTCCATCTGTTTTGGATTGTTCTAAATGACTGAAAGTGGAGCATAGTAGTGAGTACAGTATTAAATGCTGCCTATGGAAAGAATTCTGGAGATTTTTCCCAAAGAAGAAAGTGTACTTTTTACATATTCTAGTGTCACTGCTGTTCTACATTGTCCTTGTATTTCTTGGGTGTCCTTACTTTTGGATTTTCTTCCTTAAAAACAAGTTGAATTCTCACCTTTAAAGGCAGTCTTACATTAACTATTACACAGACACCCTGTACAGTATTTTTAAACAGAAAGGTGATTGTTAAAAGTGATTGTAGATGGCTGGATGTTTGAAAAAAATGCTAGGAACTGGCTTTTTTCTGTTGCCAGGTGAGCGAAGCAGGTGTTCACAGACCACATGTAGGTGGAATCCATGGACGCAGTAATGATGGAGCTTATTCACTCGTATTAGCTGGAGGATTTGAAGATGAAGTGGTATGTCATTTATGGAAGCAGTGGTTTTGCTGTTCTAACGGATTGTTTGTAAGGATAAAGATAGATGAAGTTTGTTGTTGATCCTAAATTTAATACTTAGACAAATATGACCGTGAAAAGAATAACTACTACTGATAACAAATAGAACCGTTTTTAGTGTTTTGGGGAGAAATATGTAAGGAAATCTTTCTTAAAGAATGCTTATGCTAATACTTAAGCAAAATATGTCAATTACAGCTGGATTTTACATTGTTTAGGGTAGTTAAATTTCGCTATACTTTCAGAATCTGAATTTTGTATTATTATTTAAAATCTGATAGTATAATTATATACAAATAATGTGGTTTATGTTTTGCTTTGCTCATGATTTTTGTTGCTATCATGAGATAGATGTTTCTTCCTTTGAGCTGCTTGTGTTTCTAAATGTGTGATACATTTACTGAAGCAGGAATGAAAGGTACATGTTATTTGATTCTATGAAGTTCTGAAGGTTCTTGACTCCTACTGATGAGCACTTTCAGAACTTCTTAGGAAAGTCTTGGTATCTTGTATTATGATCCCCAAAGGCACTGGAAAAAAAAATCTTGTTTGTTAACATTTAAGTAGAACAACAAAAACAATTATGATGCTAAACAAAACAGTAACTGTGTCAGACTTCCATCTCATGATGTTGACCATTTATGAATAGATTACTGTTTTCTTCAATTAAATAATGTTTACACGGCGTACATCCCTTCCTGCAGTTCTGCTGCATCAGGTGAAATTTTGAATCATACATCAGGTGAAGGATAAAGCAGTAAGCAATCAATTTTTTTAAAGCATGCATAGCTGTTAAAAGACAGACATTGGAGAAAGAAAGAAGCATCTGAAATAGCATCAGAATGTAATGCTCTCTTTGCCAACAGCACCAACTGGCTGCTGCTGCTGAGTATTTCTCTGAAGGAATCTATGTCTCTCTTTGAACAAGTTACATGAGGAGGAACTTGGTGTTGCGATACATTACTACATACTTAGTCAACCCCAACCCAAGCTCTAGGACCCTTAGCCAGTGGATCCTGAGAACACTTGCTCGGTAGTTGTACCTGCTATATTGAGATGCTGCAGACTCATGTTTTTTTTTTATTTGGTGGTGATACTGATGTCCCCTTATTTCTGCTGTTGTAATTATTCAATTCAAAATATTTAATAAACTTAATTGGATCATTTGCATGCCTTTTCCAGTTCACCTCAGTGATGTTGTGATCATGTGTTTTTGTGGACACCTACATATTGTCATAGTTTAGATGGCATACATAATTTTGAAAAGGCATAGTTGAGGAGAAATACTGCAGAAGATACCCCAAAAATCTGTATGAATGTCAGCTTTTCTCCAACTCTCTAAACTAAGAATCCAGGAGAGAGTTATTTTCTTCCCAGGTGCATTTTTAGAATTCATTTTTATTTGTTTCTTTTTAATAAATCAGATTTTATATCCCAGCTTAACTGGCATTTTACCTGTCTTTTGGAAAAGGTTGAAATTTAACTCCTATAAGAATATCTACAGAAAAATCAAATTTTATACTTATAAGCATTTGAAGTACACTATCTCATTCCACAAATGAAACTTCAAAATAAAAATTCAGATAAAATCCTCTGCTCACATCTAGTCACTTTATAACAAGAAAAGAGAGGTGACTCTTACTTGAATTTTGGTGGTATGATGTAGGTATTTGTGTATATTTTTTTATAAAATTGAGAAATAAATATATTTGGAAGACTGGTTTATTGTATGTTTGTAAACTTTATGCACACTGCTGACTTATGCCATCTTAATGCTTTCCATGTGGCTTTAAATTAGCAGTTCACTATTGGAGTAAAATAATTACAAAATTATATTTCAGGAAATAGATTTAACTCTTTAGCTTTCAGATCGTGGTATTTTTATGCTGTGCCTTTGGGAACTTACAGTCCTGCAGACCCAGACTTGTCTGCAACTTTCCTCAAGTTGGGACGTTCAGGATATATTGGAGTGCTCAGGAATGTTGAATTCTGTCAGTATAGAATCTGCCCTCAAGACAGAGAAGGGGTAGTCATATTTTACAAAATGAGCACTGAGTGAAATTGAAGCACGTGAAGCTTAACTCCAACTCTTAGTTAAATGCATATAAAATGTTTGTATGTTAATGTCTCTCTTGGAAATGTTTAACCTTGAATTTCAGTGACAAGTTACATGCCTTACCCATTTAAGATATAGTATTACAGTTGTTAGCTTTAGAGTCTTGAACATGTTAATATTGTGGATCTGGTGTTGTTCTTAATAGTAACTGTAATGGGAACATTAGCTGAAAAAATTGGAAGTCTTATAGGAATTAAAAATTTAAGAATTATATTTTATTACATAATTAATGATAATATATAATATAATTAAGAAATATATTTTAAAACTAGATATTAGACATTAACAGTGATTATGCAGTCACAGTGTTCATGATAAAAGTATTTTGACTTGTCTGTTCATCAAATCAAGTAGCTGAAAAAATATTACTTCTGTATTGAGAAATTACCCTCCTATTTTTTGTTGGTTTTATGTATCAGGGTTAAAACTGCTGTTTATTTTCAAAAGTTTCAAGATTCATCTTTCTACTGGGTTGAGGTAGTGTTGTAAAGATGGTAAATTGTGTGGTGTGCTTAGTTTAATCTGAACAAAGATTGTTTATTCTTTTAGTGCTTTTGCAAATAAGATCATATAGAAAAACTCTGAACTGAGATTCAGAATCTCTTGGAGAATAATATCTGCTGTGATCATTCACATCCTCTTGTAAAAGATTCTGAGAGTATAAAAGAGAATAGCATCTCTAATGTCTCAAAAGTGACACCAGGCAAATATATTCATTGCTTAGGTTTGTTGGTATTTCATATCAAACCCATTCATTGCCTGGAGCATAGCATTCACAAACCACTTCATGAAATGGCTTGCTTTCCATTTTAAGTGTTCTGTGTCTTTGGGTTAATTTTGTGGAGGGGGGTAGTCAGTTTCAAGGGGTTAGTACAACTGTTACTCCACTTGTTTGAAATAGTCCAGTTGCAAATGAACATTATTTAGCTCACTAGATTTGCCCAAGCCATGTCATGAGGATATAGCATTTCAGAACCTCTGCTTAGTGTGCATTGCACGGGGAAAGCGCTTGATCAGTTCCATTAATGCCAAAGGTGTAGTGCCAGTGCTCTAGTGAATTGCATACTTAAATGGCTTTAAATGCAAATTAGGTGGCAATGGGAACCTCATCTCTGAGTCAGTGGTTTATATCTAAAGACAATTGTTACTAGCAGTTTACCTAGATATATGTGCATGACCTGTTGCTTTATTAACCAGTTTGCTGGGTTGACCTAGGTTGTCTGAATCCAGTATGAGCACTAGTACAAAAAAGATGTAGTGTCCTATATGAATTTTCTGAATTATCATGCTATGCTGACTATGTTACCAAGGGAACAGTTCCTTTCTGTTTTTCCCACTCTGTTTTATAGTACTGAGAATCCAGCATAACTAGTCATTACAGCCATTACACTTCAAATCTCTCTATTGTGAGTCATGTGGATTGAGGATGTAGCTGAAAACCTGATGCTTGACACCATGAAACTTGAAACGGTCATGTTTCCAAGGTCTAAGCGCCCTACTGTTTTGGGACCTACTTGGAGCCCCAAAATAATGAGAAAAAAATTTAGTATCTCACTATACAATAGCTACCAAATACCTTCCTTTTCACTCAGATGTGTTATTTGTCCACTGTCATTACCTCCAGTACTAAGGACATACTCAACATAATTTGTATGGTAGTAGTTTTAATATTTACTTCTTACCAGTGTTTCAGATTTGCAGTACAGATCCTATTCTGCAACAGTCTTGTCTCCATCTTTTCTGTTACTCCATATTGTTAGCTATCAGTCTATACAAAATGCTAGTGAATACTAAAAAAAACCATTCTTGCATTATTTTCTGAATTTCATTGTCTCCTCTGTACCTGCGTTATATTCAGAGTTGCTTTCACATTCTGAAGAGCCTTAGTTACACAGACGCTTTCTGTCATTCTTTACTGCTAGTATTACATCTGTCAAAATAGTCTTATCCGCGTATTTGTGAGCTTCTTTCATAATGGAGTGTATAATCTGTGTCTATACCACTCCTATCTGTGCTTTTCCAAAGTTCTTTTGCAGGACTTTTTAAAAACATTGAGGAATCCATTCGACACAATGATAAAATAGATTAAAAAGTAGAAAATGTTGCTAATGCTTAGCAAAGAACCATTGAACTCTTTTTTACATTTCATGCTTTTCAAGAAACATTCTGTTTGGAGTAGTGCCTTAGACCAAAGACATAGGCCTTAATTTCTTTTTGTGAATGGCTAATATACTGCAATACTTTCTTTCTGAAATTCATGTGTTTTCAAGAGACATTAGTCATATTATTGCAATATATGGAGTATCATCAATCTTCATAAAATTCTCAGGTGTAATTATACTAACCTTTGTGTCGAATCATGAGTTTCTTGCTGGACTTTTTCACATGGACACTTACAAAAAAATTCATGTGATATTAAGAATTTATTTAAATATAGCAAAAATAAAAGAAGGATGAAAGTAACAAATGCTGATTATTTGTATAGAGATAAATGAATGTCAAATAGTAAATGCATGTCTTTTTAGACAAGGTTTTCCTTGCCTTGCTTTAGCTAGGATTATAGTAGGCTTATTAAATTACTTAAAAATTAATAACTTAAATTTTAATTACTTAAAGTAATTAAGTACTTGGGTAATTACTTAAAACAGATTGAAGGATTTTTTTCCCTCAGAAAAACAACCAGTGATCTCCAACAGATAGCGAAAAATAATTGTATTTTAAAATGCTGTCTCAGAAAACTGTTGTATCTCCTAAGTAATCTCTCACTACAGAAAAGTGTGTAGTGAAAGACCTGAAAAGGCTTTCTGTGTGGTGTGTCTTTGATAAACCTGGTTTGAAGTTGGAG